GGACCACTTCCCATCAGTATATAACCAATCTATGCTATTGGAAATGTACTACCGTGACAATAGACCCCATCTATACAAACATACACTATTTACAAGAAAAAAACTCCGTCCGTATATACCCTAATTGCATTTTCATTGCCGCTTAAATTTCCCTCCACCCATTTTCACTTCAATTCACTCAAACTTAAAAAAAATTTCTCATATCCTCTTCCTTCCAAAAGTATCCATTCTACTCTCCTGAAATCTCCCATTCTACTCTCAGACCAAATTTGTGCAAGTTCCATCTTCAAATTTCTTTCGAATTGAGGATCTTGATCCCTGTACCAAACCCTAACCATTTTGGGTAATAACCTCCATACCAAACAGAGCATTAGCCCTACGCTCGTCTCCAACGTGGACCAGAATCCTGACGCCATCACTCCAGGCATCGACAACCAAGGTAAACCATTCATTTGCTTAGGATTTTATAGATCTATTGTTACGTGAAAGAAATTAGTGTTTGGGGAAGTTATCGAAAGTTGGCACCTGTTTTAGTTTCTTTTTTAGCCACTTATTCGACTCTTTGCTTCTTCTCTTTTCTTATTTTGATGTTTTTCCTGTTGAATTAATGGATTTTCCCCTCTATTAGCTATGTCTTTAGGTATAGGCGTATAGCTTCCTTTTTTCGATTTTTGTTTTTAATTTTAAAGCATTTCTTGGTCTCGAACTTCTCTTTTATGATTTTCAAGATCGCCCTTTTGTTCTTAGGAAGCGTAACCTATGGAGACAGTTGAGGAGGATCAAGAGTACAACTACAGGGAGGTGTTGCTGCCTTCTTTGATCCATATTGTACCCGAACCGGAGTTGGAGAGGGAGACGGAAGAGAGGAGGAGAGGCCGAGACATATTGATAGCGATTGATCATGGTCCCAACAGCAAGTATGCATTTGATTGGGCCCTTATTCACTTCTGCAGGATTGCTGATACCCTCCATCTTGTTAATGCTATTTCCAGTATGTATATTTACTCATCTCAATGGATTTTGCTTTAGTTTGTTAAGCTTGAAATTCATCGGCTTTGAGATTGCTTTTCATTCCTTAATTTCTTCTGGTTTTGGGTTTTTTAGGTGTTAAAAATGAGGTGGTTCATGAAGCTAGCCAGGGGCTTATGGAGAAGCTAGCTGTTGAGGCGTATCAGGTTACAATGGTTAGTGGGTTTTCTTTCATCCTTTTAATGCTTAAAAATGTGAACTTGAAAGGTGAAATCTTTGAATTTGAGTGCAATTTTTATAAGAATTCCCTATATCAAATCTTTCTAATGGGCTATTATATCTGTCCGTTTGATTTATTAATAAATTGGGGAGGGGGAAGACACTGAGAAATTTAACTACAATAAACTATAAAGCTTCATTGATCTTCACTTTTTGGATGCTGCCTCTAACTTCGTTTAGATTATTTGATTTAAGTTTTTCTATTGGCAAGGAAGGTCTAGATTAGAATAGCATGTTACTTCTCCTTACTCGTAGAATATTTATAAGCATCCCATGTTTTGTTTTTCTATATTGACCTACTGATAATTGATGTTTAGGTGAAGTGTGTGGCTCGGATTGTGGAGGGGGACGCAAGTAAGGTTATTTGCCGGGAAGCAGACAGGATAAAGCCAGCAACTGTGGTTATGGGAGGTAGCCAGAAAGTCGTTTACTTGCAAGAAAGGTGTCTCCTACTGATTCCCTTCTTCTGGTATTAACCCTCTTTCTTCTCCGTCTCTTCTTTCCATACACATCTCTCAACTTGATTCAATCTCGGTGTTTTTTGCGTATGGTTTCTTCTTAATTTTTCTTTGAAATTTCGTTAAACCTAGATCGAATCCTCTTCTTCCGGTTGTTATTATTATTATTATTTCGTTATTTTCTTTCTTCATTTCTTGCTTGTTGCCAATCATTGAATCTGTTCATGGCTTTGTTTGTCACCAGAGCGTTTTCCTATTTGATTTGTTCTTGATTTCACACGGATTCATATCTGTTCTGTGAATTATGCAGTGAAGGTGTTAGTTCGTAATGTAATTTGGATAAGGATGACTAATGTTGTAGCCACTAAATTTTTATGATTTTTTTTTGTATTGTTGAGGAGTGCTGTTGCAAATCTTAGCTAATTTGTGTTGTTGGATGAAATTCTTGGTGCATTTCTCAGGTTTTTTAGTTGGCGAAGGATCTCCTTATATTCATTAATTTGAGAGTGATTCTTGACTCTTTCTACGAACTGATGCTAAGATCGGCAACCTTTTTCCCCCATTTCTTTTTAAATTAACAATGGCTTATTAACATGTGCAACTTTAGTATTTTCATTTCCAATCTTTCCATGCTTGAATCTGTAATCAACATGTTGGTGCTATTGTTTGATAATTAAAGCGCAGTCATTGCATTTAAGTTCTTGAATGCTATTTTTGCAGGTTTACCAGTTTATCAAGGAACAAGTTGAACAGCTCGACAAAAATGAGCAATGGTACAGAGCACTTATGGATATAATTACCTTATATGAATAACCATTATACTTATGTTCTTGAACACTATATTATGAGGTTTGCAGGGAACAAGCAATGGCATAGTAGGAATGGTAGTCATTCCTTTCTTGTTATCAATGTAAGACCATAGTTTTAAGTTAATTTCTTAGCAGCTGGCAAAAACTGGAGGTTGTAATTTTAGTTCTTACTTTTGATTATTTCGATTTTATTTCAAAATTTCAAACAAGGAATCTTTGTGTTGTTGACAATTAAATGCTATGTTTTGAAGTTAATCTATTTTATAATTCTATTTCCTTGGCATAGTGTTTTTATTATACTCACTTTATTAGCTTCTTCTTTATGAAATGGCTTCTTGGATTGTTGATGACCATTTGAGCATAATTTTTTTTATATATAAATTATATACAAATGATGATAATCATACTAAGGTATTCCATCTATTTAGTGATTAATCGCTTTGTTTCACTAATAAAAACTAATGCATGGGCAGTGGATTGTTGTGCAGGAAGAAAAAACATGGGTAGCTCTAATATTTGTACTTCTTTTGGCACTTATCTTCATTGAAATGTTTAAGGCATACAGCTCAGTGATAGAGAGGGTTTTATTTTATTCACAAGCATATTCCACTAAAGAACATGAAAGATGAGTTGCTTGGGTTCATAGTTCATTGGGAGGTTTTTGTGTATTGTAAATGGATTAGAGTATTATGTGTTCCAATATATGAATCAATATAGGAATATAAAAGTATGATCTGTTAAATGGTTTTTGCTAATAGGACTAAAAAATAAGTGTAGTAGAAAATAATAAATAAAATAAAAAATAAAACAAAAAGGAATTACAAATTGTAAAAAAAAAAAAAAAAGGATCTATACTGACGGAAATAGTTATTTTTACCAATGGAATTATCCGTTTGTAAAGATAAGGGTCTATACCAACGGAAAAATCTCTTAAGATTTTTTAGGGTCTATACCAACGGATAAGTCTTCCGTAAGAATAGATCCAAGGGTCTATACAGACGGATTGGGCGTTGGTATAGACCCTATACTGACGAGGTTTCCACCCACGGACAGTTCGTCCGTCGGAATAGTACCTAGGGTCTATACAGACGGAAAAAGGGTCTATACAAACGGAAAACTTCCGTCAGTATAGATACATTTGCTTGTAGTGATAACAGGATTCAAATTAAGATAAGTGGCATCAACATTGTCACACAAAATAGTTGGAGAAGCTGGATAGGGGACCCCAAGTTCAAATAATAGATG